AAAAAACAAAAACAAAAACAACCCCCATGCTTTATTGTTAAAATACAGGTAAAGTTCTGGGCGCTTAACACTCTGTCAAACAAAATCAAACAAAGAATTGAATTGCCATCGCTGTGACAAAATTACACACACAGGCATGCTGTATGTATGTAAAGAAACAGGCTGCCCAGGACTCACACATAGCTAAGATGGTCTCAAACCCCTGATCCTCTGGTTTCTACCAGCCCAAAGCTAGGATTATAGGCAGGCACCCCTTCACCAAGCTTTTTTGTTTGTTTGCTTTGTTTTGTTTTGTTTTGAAACAAACCCTCACTCTAAACCAGAATCACAATTCTCTTACCCCAGTCTGGTAGGACTTTTGTGCTAGGAAAAGACAGGAGAGAATATGCCTGAATGATAATTCATTTCTTTTACCTGTATTGTAACAATAAAACATGGGGGTTGTTTTTGGCTTTCATTTCTTTAAAAACTGTATTAGCTCCTAAGGAAGCAAGCCAAGACATAAGCACTCTCAGGGTTGCTACCTCTAGGTTACTGCTGTAATCTCTAAAACTGGCCAGTGTGCTTCTCTAAATGTTGGAATCTATCTTTTTAATCACTTATTTATGTTGTGGAGGGACACACCTGTGCCACGATATGCATAGAACACTGTTAGGAGTCATTTCTTGCCTTCTGCTTTGTTGAGGCAGGGTTTCTTGTGTTTTTTCCTGCTGGGGCTTTCAGTACTCGAGGATGGCTGGACCACAAGCTACTGGTGGATTCTCTTGTCTCTGCCTCCTGCCTCACCACAGAGATGCTGGGATTACAGGTGTGAGTGTGGCCTACACCAAATTCAGGTCATCGAATTTGTGCCTCCCCACTTTTGAGATAGTGTTTCATTGTAGCCGAGGCTTGCCTTGAACCTACTACAAAGATGATACCGTCCTTAAATTTCTAATCCTCCTGCTCCTAACTCCAAATTGCTGGGATTACAGATGTTCACTAGAACTGCCAGATGTGTTAATTTAGAAACTACTGAGGGTTTTGTCATCATTTACACTATCACTCCTATCACATTTGAATCCTGATTTTGTTTTTTTTTTTCTCTTGGGGTTTCTTTATGTCTAAATACTACATTTAAGGCTCTATATAGCTGAGCATGGTGGCACATGCCTGTAATCCCAGCAGTTGAGAGGCTGAGGCAGGAAGAGTGCTGTGAGTTTGAGGCCAGCCAGGGATACATAGTAAGACTCTGTCTCAAAAGCAAATAAAGCCCCTGGCAACAGGAGTAGCAGTAGTAGTAATAATAATAAAAATAATAATAAAGCTGTCTTCACTTAGCCCTTTTCCCATCTTTATTACATCTTTATTCCGTGTGTGTGTGTGTGTGTGTGTGTGTGTGTGTGTGTGTGTGTGTGTGTGTGTCACTGTCCCAAGACAGAGGTCAGAGGACAACTCCACAGTTGGTTTTCTTTCCACCACGTGAGTCCCAGGGATCAAATTCAAGTCCAGGTTTAGTGGCCATCTCTATAGCCTATGAGCTGCTTTTTTTAAAATATTTTTTTTGTTTTTAATATTTAGTGTGTGGACAGCCACATGCAAGTCAGAGGATAACTTGCATGAGATAAGTTGGTTCTCCCCATCCATCATATAGGTTTCAGGGATCAAACTTGGGTGGTCAGTTGCAACCACCTTTTCTAGCTGGCCCCTTAGTTCTGTTTTGTCTGGAGACAGGTTTGTCATTAAGTAGCTATGACTGGTTTGGAGTTCCATATGTATCCTAGACTGGCCTTCAATTCTTGGGGGAATCCTTGCGCCTCGTCTAAAAGTTGAGTCTCTCTCTCTTTCTTTTTTTTCTTTTTGATTTTTTGAGGCAGGTTTCTCTGTATTGTTTTTTTAGAGCCTGTCCTGGAACTCGCACTGTAGACCAGGCTGGTCTCGAACTCACAGAGATCTGCCTGCCTCTGCCTCCCGAGTGCTGGGATTAAAGGCGTGTGCCACCACCTCCCGGCAAGTTGAGTCTTTAATAATATTGAGGTGTAATATATCAACATATATATTGATGGATGGTTATCTGAATACATATGTGATCAAAACAAGTATCAGAAAATAAATGGTAACTGGGTAATATAGCTAGTGGGCACAATTGCTCACTGCAATTCTTTCGACTTTTCTAAACAGTTGGAAAAATTTCCTAACACATTGTTTTACTCAAGCAGGAGCATATTCAATTTTCAGTGTTTCAGGGGTACCATTTCATCATCCCCCCCTCCCCTGTAACAAGCACTCTTCCCCCCAGCCTGGTCCCAGAGCTGTGTCAGGACGCTACATTAATTATTAAGCTGTTGGCCGTTTGCTATGGTTTCTTATTGGCTAGCTCTGACTTAATTATTAACTCATAACTGCTAATCTATATACTTTTACAAGAACTTGTCTTTCCGAGGATGCCATCCTGAGGCGTCCTCTCTTCCCAGAATCGCATGGTGACTCCCTACTCCTGACTGCATTTCCCAGAATCCTCCTCGACTCCTCCTCCCACCCATCTGGCTTCCCTATTGGCCAACCGTGCTTTATTTACCAACCAGTAAGACAGACAGACACAGAAGACCATACCCTATCACCCCCCCACTTTGTTTTTTTTTTTTTTACACGGTTCTTTGTCAAGTCACTGGTTTTCCCACTCTAGAGCAATACATATGACTTCCTTTGCTAGGAGACACGTTTATTAACACAAGCCGGCCAGCTATCGAGAATGCAAAGCCAAGACCCGGAGCAGACAGATATTAATTACACTGCCCGATGGCCCAGGCTTGAGAGGCAACGGCGTAAAGACAGGAAGAGGGTAGGGGAGCTTTGTGGCTTTTTGAGTCACCATCAGTACTCTGGCCACGAGTGACCACAACGGCGGACCCTCCAGCAGTCGGAGCGAGGGAGGGAAACAAATCCTGCGGGCTGCTACTCTCTTCAACACCTAGTGGGAGTGCAGCGGGACAGCACCCCTGACATGGAAAACAGCGATCCCCACCTCCCAGGCTGGCGTGGCACACGACGCAGAGGCAGCAGACAGACAGACAGACAGACAGGCAGACAGACAGGCAGGCAGGCAGGCAGACAGGCAGGCAGACAGGCAGACAGACAGGTAGACAGGCAGACAGGCAGGCAGGCAGACAGACAGACAGACAGGCACACAGGCAGGCAGACAGACAGGCAGGCAGGCAGGCAGACAGACAGGCAGGCAGGCAGACAGACAGACAGGCAGACAGGCAGGCAGACAGACAGGCAGACAGACAGACAGGCAGGCAGACAGACAGGCAGACAGGCAGGCAGACAGACAGACAGGCAGGCAGGCAGGCAGACAGGCAGGCAGACAGACAGACAGGCAGGCAGGCAGGCAGGCAGACAGGCAGGCAGACAGGCAGACAGGCAGGCAGGCAGGCAGGCAGACAGGCAGACAGGCAGGCAGACAGACAGACAGGCAGGCAGGCAGGCAGGCAGACAGGCAGGCAGACAGACAGACAGGCAGGCAGGCAGGCAGGCAGACAGGCAGGCAGACAGGCAGACAGGCAGGCAGGCAGGCAGGCAGACAGGCAGGCAGACAGGCAGACAGGCAGGCAGACAGACAGACAGGCAGGCAGGCAGGCAGGCAGGCAGACAGGCAGGCAGACAGGCAGACAGACAGGTAGACAGGCAGACAGGCAGGCAGGCAGACAGACAGACAGACAGGCACACAGGCAGGCAGACAGACAGGCAGGCAGGCAGGCAGACAGGCAGGCAGCAGACAGACAGACAGACAGACAGGCAGGCAGGCAGGCAGGCAGGCAGACAGGCAGGCAGACAGACAGGTAGACAGGCAGACAGGCAGGCAGGCAGACAGACAGACAGGCAGGCAGCAGACAGACAGACAGGCAGGCAGGCAGACAGGCAGGCAGGCAGGCAGACAGACAGGTAGACAGGCAGGCAGGCAGACAGACAGACAGACAGGCACACAGACAGGCACACAGGCAGGCAGACAGACAGGCAGGCAGGCAGGCAGGCAGGCAGACAGACAGACAGGCAGGCAGGCAGACAGACAGGCAGGCAGACAGGCAGGCAGGCAGACAGGCAGGCAGGCAGACAGACAGACAGGCAGGCAGGCAGACAGACAGGCAGACAGACAGGCAGGCAGGCAGACAGACAGGCAGGCAGACAGACAGGCAGGCAGACAGGCAGGCAGACAGACAGGCAGGCAGACAGGCAGGCAGACAGGCAGACAGGCAGACAGGCAGGCAGACAGACAGACAGACAGGCAGATGACAGGCAGGCAGGCAGGCAGACAGATAGACAGACAGGCAGGCAGGCAGGCAGACAGGTAGACAGGCAGACAGACAGACAGGCAGGCAGGCAGACAGGCAGACAGACAGGTAGACAGGCAGGCAGGCAGACAGACAGACAGACAGGCACACAGACAGGCACACAGGCAGGCAGACAGACAGGCAGGCAGGCAGGCAGGCAGGCAGACAGACAGACAGGCAGGCAGGCAGGCAGACAGAGAGGCAGACAGACAGACAGACAGGCAGGCAGGCAGGCAGGCAGACAGACAGACAGGCAGGCAGGCAGACAGACAGGCAGGCAGACAGGCAGGCAGACAGACAGGCAGGCAGACAGGCAGGCAGGCAGACAGACAGGCAGACAGACAGACAGACAGACAGGCAGATGACAGGCAGGCAGGCAGGCAGGCAGACAGATAGACAGACAGGCAGGCAGGCAGACAGGTAGACAGGCAGACAGGCAGACAGGCAGGCAGGCAGACAGGTAGACAGGCAGACAGACAGACAGACAGGCAGACAGGCAGACAGATCATTATCACTGCTCCCCCCACCCCCACGAGCCATCATTGTGACATGGGGGAGGACGCCCCACCAGCGGTCTCAGCTTGGTCCCCGCCTGGACCTCCGAGGGAGGAGCTGACAGAAAGGCCCCGGCCCCCGGCCCCCGGCCCCCGCACCCGCTCCTGCTCCCACCGCTCGACCTCACAAACTAACCCGTGGCCCGTCGCCCTGCGCATGCGCCGGGGGCGGGCGGGCGTCGCGGGCGGATGGACCATTCCATTCCTGACGGGTGTTGAGGGCGGAGCGCTCGGGAGCCCTGACTCTGAAAGCGCTTCCCAGCCGCCACTGCCCTCCGCAGTGCGTGGCGCGTGGTGACCGCTGTAGTTCTGCCTCGGTGGCCGCTGACAGGGTCCCTGGCGAGGTTGGCTGTGGATCGCTCCATAGGCTCGGCCACACCACCCCCGCCCGCCTGGCGGCGTTGGGACCGGCCGGCGTGACGTCAGACTACGGAAGCCCAGGGAGGCCCCGCCCAGCCAGCCCGACGGGTCTCGCCCCGCCCAGCTTCACCAAGCCGCCCGGGTCCCTGGCGGCCGCGCCGCGGGGCAGCTCCTCCTCCTCTCCGCCCCGCAGGCTGCGGGTGAGCGAGCGGGCGGACGTCAGCGCTGCCAGCGTGGAAACCGCTCCGGGCCGCGGGAGGCGGAAGTAGAGCCCGGCACGGCGGCCGCGTCGCCGGACGCCTGAGCCATGGACGCGTCCCTGGAGAAGAAGGTCGGTACCGAGTGCTCGGGCGCCGCCACGGCCCGGGCTCTCCGCCTCCCGGGCGCCGGTGTCCTGTGGGGAAGGGGACCGGGGGCCGGAGGACGGCTGTCAGCCCGGGCCTGGCCACGTCACGGGCGGAGGGGCTGCGGGAGGCGAGCCCCGGCGCTGTCGGAGCCGGCTTGCGGCTGGGCCTGACGGAAACCGGCGCCGGCCCTGTCGGGATGACAGGAGCCGTCGGGTGGGGCCCCGGAGGCGCCCGGGAAGAAGCCCCGGTTGTCACGGAGCTCACTGCAGAGCCACCGTGCTTTCCTAGTTGGGAGAGAAATTAGGAACTTTGGCGGGAGTAGGAATCACCTGGGGACCCTGGTAAAAAATATGCAGAGCGGGTTCCAGGACAGCTACACAGAAGAGCCTGTCTCCATACACACACACACACACACACACACACACACACACACACACACACACACACAGAGACAGACACGGACACACACACACACATACACACAGACTCACACAGACAAACACACACATGCACGCACTAACAAATGGGTTTGCACACACACAAATGAATTTGCACACACACACAGACACACAAATGGGTTTGCAGCCTCTAGTCTTAAGCAGTGGTGGGCGGGGACGCAGCTTGTTGAGTTTAACAAGATCCCCACGTGATTCCCACGCTGCTGTCTGGGAACCTCGGGCTAGAAACCCCAGGATCCGGAAAGGGGTGGGCATTCCGTAAACGGTGAGTTCATCTGGGGTAGGGGACAGACCCAGCTGGTCTCACAACGACTTGGGTTCCTCTTTCTGAGAACCTTTAGAAGCCTTCAGGCCACCCTCAAGCCCACGGGAACTAGCGTCTTACCCTGTTTACCCCTCGGGGCAACAGGCTCTAGATGGACCTGGCTGACTGCTCTGGCGTGTTGAATGGATTCTGAGTGTTCCCGCTTTGGGAGGCCGGGCAAACGAGAGCAGGTGCTGGCTGGGGTTTCTTCACGGACCCTGCTTTCAGTGCCTGACACTCTGTCCCCCAAGCCTTTTCTCTCTGCCCCTTCTTGAGAAGTTGCTTATCCGATGTGATGTAAACCGAGTGTTTTCACCACCACCCTCCCTCTCTCCTCTCTGTCTCCCCCACTTCTCCTCCCCATCCTGTGAAGAAACCCCAGCTAGTCTGTAACTCACTATAGACTAGGCTGACCTCAAACTTTCAAAAGTGATTCTCCTGCCTCTGCCCCCCTCCTCAAGGAAACTGCTGGGATTGCAGGAGTGTGCCATCGTGCATGGCTTGGAATTCCCGTTTCAAAGAAGCAGCTGTCGTAGTTGCGTTCACTTGTCACTGGGGAGCTGAAGGTGGTAATTGTAGAAGTTGAGCCAGATGTCTCCATGTGCACACAGCGGCATGTCTTGCTCCTCAGCCTTAGCATAAATCCGGTAGAAAGCAGTCAAGGAGAAGCTTTTTTTTCCCCCTTGGTTCTTCTGATTAACATAGTGTCTACTTTTTAATACCGTGAGTTTCACTCAAGAGTGGGGATTCTCAACTCTAGGTTAGGTTTGTTCCCCAGGGGACATTTGGCAGTTTCTGGAGCTGTTTTAGCCTAGAATGTCTTAAGAGAGTAGGAAGACCCTAAGGATACTGTTGGATATCCTCTTTGCACAGGACAGTTCCAAATATCAGAAGTATCAGCAATGCAGAAGCTGAGAAAACTGGTTGAGGTCATGTGTGTAACTACAGTAGTTGAGTGCAAAATGATGCTTAAAAATGTCCTGTGTTTCTCGTTTCTTAATAAGGCTTTATTTATCCCGTTCCATTAGAACCCTGAAAGAACTGAGATGACCTTTCTTCTGAGAGTATCTGAAAACTTAAAGTGGATAGGAGTCCTGCTGTAAATGGTATTCTTCTGAGCGATGATAAAATATTTTAAACCTTCCAAAGACCATGGAAGATGTGCTGAAACTCCAGCGTGCGAAAGGGATGGGACTTAAATTGCACTGAACTTTGAGGAATTCAGAACATGTGGGCTGGAAGTCCCTGCCCTGGGCTAGTGTGAAAATTATAAATCTAAGTTTTGTTCTAAAATTAGGGCTCAGAGGATGGTGGTGGCGGCGCACGCCTTTAATCGAAGCGCTGGGGAGATAGAAACAGGCAGATCTCTGTGACTTCAAAGCCAGATTGATCTATAGAGCGAGTTCTAGGACAGCCAGGACTACACAGAGAAACCCTGCCATGGAGGAAAAAGGCTGGGCTCTTAATTTCTGTATTCTGTGAAGCAATAGAGCATTTCAGATATAATGAATAATCTCTGTTAATGATAAATGGACAGGAAAGGCTTTGATATAATAAGAATTAGATGACTGTGTTCTGAAAAATAGCTTGGACTAAAGTGAAATATTGAATTATGTCCATTGTTGTTGTCTCTTTGAGGAATAAGCTAGTTTGGGCTAGATTCTACATTTCTAATACAAATTTGAGAGCTATTTGAGTAGTTCCTGAATGATCCTACTTCATTTGATCCCTGCATAATTTATAGAGCCACAGAAACCACAATGTTGTTTGGTATTTATCCTCTGAAACTTCAGTACCATATCCTCTATGACAGTGGTTCTCAACCTGTGGGATGTGGCCCCACATGAGTAGAATATCACATATCCTGCATATCAGACATTACATTACAGTTTATAACAGTAACACAATTACCATTATAAAGTACCAATGAAATAATTTTGTGGTTGGAGGTCACCACAACATGAGGAACTGTATTAAAGGACTGCAGCATTAGGGACGTCTGCTCAGCCAGGCAGTGGTGGCGCACACCTTTAATCCCAGCACTCGGGAGGCAGAGGCAGGAGGATCTCTGTGAGTTCAAGGCCAGCCTGGTCTACAAGAGCTAGTTGTAGGACAGGCTCCAAAGCCACAGAGAAACCCTGTCTCAAAAAAGAAGAAAAGGAGGAGGAGGAAGAGGAGAAAGAACCGCTGTTCTAGGATGTAGTATGTGATCATCACTCAGTAGAATCACCCCATACATGTCCTTTGATCAAACTATAACTCTGAATCCCTTGAGGTAGTATGCAAACTTGCAAATCTGACAGGACAGTCCCTTTCCTTACCTTAATTTGCTTTTCTTTCAGAGTGGTATCTGAAATGAGTGATGACTCCATACCAGATAGGCTAATTGAAGAGACAAGGAATTCAAACTAGGAGAGAGGGACTGGGGACAACTGAAGTTCCTCTGAGAATAGTTCTCCATAAGTAAATCGGCCAGATAAAAGGGGCTGGGGCTGCAGAGATGGTTTAGTGGTTAAGAGCACTGTTGATCTTAACATAGGTTCGATTCCCAGCACCCACGTGGTGACTCAGAATTGTCTGTACCTCCTGCTCCTTGGAACCCAGCGCCATCTCCTGGCCTCCTCAGGCACCAGGCATGTAAGTGGTGCACAGGTAAACATGTAGACAGAACACGCATATCATGTGAACTCAATCTGAAAACAAATTTTAAGTGGGTAGCTGTCATATCTAGCACCTTACTGTATTCAGCATGGAAGAAGCAGGGCTCTGGAGCTGGAGCAATGGCCTAGAGGTTAGGGGTGAGTACTGCTCCCTCAGAGCATCCAGGATGACTCAACACCTGTAACTACAGCTGCAGGGGACCTGACACCCTCTTCTGGCTTCAGAAAGTGCTTGCACAGACACAGCATGCATATAGGCGCACACATGTACACATAAATAAAAAGTAATTGAAAAACAAAAAAGGTCCTGGATAATAATTTTAAAATAATGTTACTTTTCAAGTCAGGGCTAGCACAGAAGTGTGAGAGACCATATTCGTTTATTCACAACCTTCACTTTTCAATATTATCTTGCTGCTTTAAACCTTTTCATGTTGAATGCAAAATGTCATTCTTCTGGGATAGTCTGTTTAGACAAGGTGTGCTGCCATTTATTTTGTGTTTGCTTTAACTCCACCCTTGAGCAAACTCAGGACAGGGCTTCTCAAGTTTCTCAACTGCTGCTATCTGTGTCAACCGATTCTTGCGTGTGGGAGGGTCACTGTAGCACACCACGTTTAACAGAGTCCCTGGCCTCCATCCACTAGACTCTTGCTGCGCACTCCCGGCTCTGACAGTTGAAAATGGCTGCAGATGGGGTGGGTGGGGTTGCCTGTGGCTGGGAGTCAGAGACTGACAACTCAGCTGCTGTTCAGTTGGGGAGCCACTGGTTACACTTGACAGCTTAAAGTTAGATGGACTGAAATCAAGCAGAATTAACAGCTCATCTCCTTAGTGTGCTAACCATATCCTCAGTGCTCACCAGCCACATACGATACGTGCCTGCCATACAGAGCAGCGCAGGGTTAGACCGTTTCACTCACCAGTACCGAACAGCTGGGTGGTTTAATTAACCTGATAGCGCTGCTTATCTCTGAAAGAGGCACCTTCAACTCTGTCTTCTACCTAAGCCCACTGTTGCCTGTTTGGTTTTGTTTGTCTTTGAGACAGGAGATCACTGTGTAGCCAAGGATTACCCTGAACTGATCTGTCTTCACCTCCTGAGTGTTGGGACTACAAACATGTGTCATCACACCTAGCTTTGTGCGTGGCTGGGGACTTGTGGGTACATCGTTTCTGTTTTTGTCCTTACCCTAAACTAGGCATTTCTCTTTTGAGTCTGATTTGAAAAGAAAAATTATTTTACTGTCAGAACCTTATAAAGAGGAACAAAAGCAGTCTGAGTAGAACAGTGTGATCCTTATTGACAAGGATGGCCAGAACTTTGATGTGTGCCTTTAAAAGCACGAGGACGGGGCTGGAGAGAAGGCTTAGTGCTGCTGCCTTTGTAGAGGGCCTGGGTTGACTCCCAGCACTCACCAGCGTGTCTCACAAAAGCCTGTAACTCCTGTGCCAGGGGGCCTGACTGACACTCGCTGGCTCTCAGAGGTGCCGTGTGCATGTGGTACTCTTACATTTATGCTGTCTCACACATACACACATAAACACAAATAACACATTTAAAATTGTCTTAAAGCACAAGAATCCCAGTGAGGCAAGTCTAAAACGACGTGTGTACTGTGGCAGAGCCCACTCTTTCACTCTGTGCAGACAAGATGGGCTGGCATTTTAGCTTCATTCAAAGTGAGGATTTTGTATACAGGTGCCTGGTAGCTATGGGAGTAAATGATACCCATTGCCGGGTATCAAAGGAGACAGATGGGATTTGCTATTTTTAGAGCTCTGCTCCCAAATGTATTGCCTTGACTGGGTTTGGTGGCCCACGCCTTTAATCCCAGCACTCAGATGACAGAGGCAGGCGGATCTCTGTGAGCTTGGGGCCAGCCTGCTCTACATAGTGAGTTCCAGGACTGCCAGGGCTGCATAGGATTTGTCTCCACAAGGAAAGAAGCCTGTGTTGACTTGGTGACTCTGATTTATTCTGGATTGCGGGGTGTTTGTGGCCCCCCCACCCCCAGTCCTGATGCTATAGGTAGGGTTGTGACTTACGTTCTAGCCTAGATTGAATGTGGGATGTTTTCACTTAAAGCAGAAGTCTGTTTTGAGTTGTGCGTTCTTACTAGTTGGAGGAGAGGAGAGTGCTGGAGACAGAGTGAAGAGGATGCGACCCTGGGGGATGTGCTGTAGTGAAGGACAGCATTTCCACTTCCAGATGAGATCTTGCCGTGGAGTCCAAGTGGCTTTCTTCAAACTCTACGGTTCCCAACTTTCCATGTGTTGGTAATCCAGGAGCGCACTTCACAGGAGGCTGCTAGGTGTATGTTTCTAAAAGAACCATTGTGTAAGGAGGAGTAGAAAACAGTAAAGCAATGGAGATGATGGCAGCTGGGAGTTTTGAAGAAGAGAGTATTTGGGGTGCTTTTTAAATTGTGTTTTAAAATTGTTTTTGTGTGGGCTTTTTCTTGTTGTTGGGGGGAGAGTAGGTGCAGGTGTGCCAGTGTGATTCCAGATAAACAAGAACTTAGAAATTAATAACGCTTTCCTGCTGTGGGATATCTTTTTCTTGGTGTACTATTTGGAAGGTAGTATTCATGACATGATGTCTGAGTGATGGTTCTTAGAATCTGGTTTCTAGGGGGTGGAGGGTGTGTGTGTGCGCGTGTGCACACACGCGCTCCAGTGTGTGGTGTGTGTGTGTGTGGTGTGTGTGTGTGTGGTGTGTGTGTGTGTGGTGTGTGTGTGTGTGTGTGTGTGTGTGTGTGTGTGTAATTTAGACTTGAATGTCTCAATTTCTGTGTGTCTTTGATGATGGTTTGGATGGTTTATTAGTTACTTTTTTGTTGCTGTGATAAAACACCATGACAAGGACAACTTGGTTTATTTGGGGCGTGTAGTTCCAGAGGGTTAGGACCTGTGATAGCATAGCAGTCACAGCCGCTGGAGCTGGGAGCTGAGAGCACACATCTCGGCCCCAAACAGGAAACAGGGAGTCAGGTAGGGTTGGCAGGAGACTTTAAGCCCTCAGATCTTGTCCCCGATGCATACTTCCTCCAGCATGGCCATACCTCCTAATGGGCTCCCCAGTAGGGTCATCAGCTGGGGACCAAATATTCCAGTGCCCCAGACAGTGGGGTCATGTCACGCACACCACCATGGATGCCTTTTTTGTTCCTCCATGCAGTACTATCTGTGACCAGTGTTGGGCGTCTAATGTCATTAATATTGTTGCTTCTTTAGCTTTTCAGATATTTTTATCACTTTGTTGCATGTTTTGCTCTTTTACATTCTTCGCCTGCTCATGAATTTGCAAGGTTAAATGCTAGTAGTCACATCTTGTCAGCAATTATATTATTGCTTTGAAATTGGAGATTATAATTTTTATGAATGATTAATTTTAGTATGTCTTCATGTCCTCACAGACACACTCAAACATAGGAAGAGTTGTCTTTTTGTTTTTTTAGTTTGTAGTTGGGGTTGCTTGGCATGCCTGTATAGGTCAGAGGGTGGCTTGTGGGGGTGATCTTTGATTTCCACAGTGTGGGCTCAAAGTCAGGCTATCTGGCATGCAGCAGGTGCCTTTATCGTTTGACCATCCCAATAATCCTGTTTTATTATTTGAGACAAAGTTTCATAAAGCCGGCAGAGATTGCCCTTGAACTTCTCCTGATCCTCCTGCATCAGCCTTCTAATTCCCTAATTCATAGGTGTACACCATCACAGGTCCTTGTTTTTTATTTTAGAGTAAGCATACACAGAAGCTGAAGTGATGGGTCAGCAGTTGAGAGCACTGGCTGCCCTGCAGAGACCCTGGTTTCCATTCCCAGCACCCACACGGTGTCTCACAGCTGCCTTTAACTCCATTTCCAGGGTTCCAACAGCTTCTGACTTCCATAGGCTCCTGCACTCGTGTACAGACACACAGGCACACGCCTAGCCTTTAATGGCCAAGTCATGTCTCCAGCCCAATAAATAAATAAAATTTTAAAATCAGCTATGAACAGTACTGGGTTTCATTGTGACGCTTTCATAAATATTTGTCATTATACATTGTCTTTTTCCCTTTGCCCACTTGTCTTCTCCTGTGTTCCCCACCCCTCACTCACTGGGCCCCTTCTATTTTCCTGTTGCATGCAGATCTCAGGCATTTAACCAGGTTAGTTTACTCAGATACATTTATTTTTAAATGATCTGAGTAATAAGCAAGGGTGAACACTCATGCCACAGCATGCATACGGAGGTCCGAGAACAACTGTGTGGAGTTATTCTCTGCGTCCACCTTTGCATGGGCTCTGGGGGGTCGTAAGCCACGGGGCTTACTTCACCTCGGGCAAACACTTACCTACTGAGCCATCTCACCAGGCCCTTCTCTAGAACTTAAACAGAGAAAGATGGAGGCAGGAAAGCAAACCTGTAGGGCTTGTGATAACCTAGTGACACTCTGCGGTGTGCTGCCCTGTAGTGTGTGCCTTCATTCCCCTGTAGCTCCTAAACCACCGCTACCACGTACATTTCCCACCTTCGCTAGAAGGAATAAGGTTTAAGATCTGAGAAGCAAACATTTAGTTACAGGTAGGGTGACTACATCCTGGTTTGCCTAGGACCATCCCAGTTTATACCTTTGTCCTGGTTTAATTATTAATACTCTTAAAGGGCCCCTATTTGGGTCACTTGCCACAGGCTTGGTGGCAAATGCCTTTACCCAATGAACCATCTCACTGGCTCTGTTTTGTTTGTTCCTAACCAGTTGTAACATTGTAGAATGAAAGCTTTTTCTGAATGGAGAGTTTCTGAGTGAAAATATGAATTAAAGAGATGATCATGAGCCAGGTGTGGCAAACACCTTTTAATTCCAGCACTCAGGAGGCAAAGTTTGGTCTGCATAATAAGTTCTAGGACAGACAGGATTATGGAGAGAGAGATCCCTTCCCCCCAGGAAAAAAAATGATCATTAAAAGTAAACTTTAGTTATGTGGGAGG